TTCATTGTATTTACTATCCATAATTTGGTGAAAACCAACAAATGCTCCATAAGGACACAATTTATTATGAACTTTCCTAAATAATTTCTGCATTCTTAAATTTTTTTAATAATTACCACTTAACACTCTACTGATACAATTTAACTTAACGAAATACAGCTGAAATACCTCACAAAAAAGAGGATGAATATTTAGAGTAGGACTGCTGTGCAGTGTATTTATCAAGCACAACAAATTCCCACAAATACCTTTATATTTAGATTAAAATTAAGATCTTCATTCACAGGGCAATGAGCTGGAAGTGAGTTGGTTGCAAAACAAGAGTTGGGGAAAGCTTGGTTTGAATTGCATCAATGTGAAGTTTGGCAAATCACTTCCTTTCACTGTCACTCTTTTCCTTTCCCCACCCCTCACTTGGCCATTGGTTTGTGACTTCTGGAAGGCAGCAAAGTCTCTTTGTGCCCCTGCAGCACAGAGCACAGCTGTGCTCCAAACACACACAGACCTTGAGGCACATCCCAAATGCAACATGGAAAAATCCATTGTGCCCCTGACAGGGCTGTGTGCTGCCACCCTGCCTCATGCCTGCTCCATGCTGGAGAAATCCTCTGGAAAACCACAGGACTCTTTGCAGAACAGGGCACTATTCAGAATGAGTGAACGTGACAGAATTCCTCCAATTATTTACTTTTCATCAACACCTGAGAACCTACAAGAAACAGAAAGTCCTCTGAGAGGCACCCCCTGGATGAATGCACACAAGGAGGGTCCACCAGAAAGAACCAGACCTGTTTTGCCCCCATGGTACCCATAAGGATTCATTCATTCCCTGTTCCCCTTCTATCCCCACACAAAATGGAATGTATTGACATCAGGTAAATTCTCTCCCAACCACAGAATCCCAGTGCTGCACCAGTTCAGTCTGCAGCAAAGCCCTTGGCTTCTACCTGACTTTCATGCTTGATTGTATGGAGCCAGACCAGCCCCAAGGGGAGGTGGAGGTAGAGGTGAGAGCAGCAGCAGTAATCAGAGGGATAGTTCATGACTCCCAAACACATTTTTAGCAAAGCTGCCATGAGCAGTGGCTACACAGAGCAGCTGCTGCCAGAGGAGGCTGTAAGTCAGACCTAGTTTGTGACCAGAGATCTAAATCAGAATGGCCCTAGGAAATAATTCATGAATTTCTATCCAAATCACAGAATTGGATGGGTTCCTCAGCCATAGTTGGATGTAAAAATCAACCATGTGCTGTGAAGTGTTAAGGGAAAAAAATAAACCAAAAACCAAAAATTCTCAATGGTTGGCTCAGTACATTTCTATTGTATTGCACTAAATCTTACCTATTTCCAACCTAGAAGTGCATTACATGTCAGTGCTTGTGAAGTAAAGTCCAAACACTCATCTTGACATGACAGGATCACCACCTTCTCTTTTGTCAAAGATGGACAAGATTAAGAGTCAATTTTGTAATACTGCAGGTCACAATCACAAGGTTGGATGAGACCTTCAGGATCATCAAGGTCAAACTTGACACGTTTGAGAGCCACCCCAAAGTAAGGCTTTGGTGACATTGGGGTGACATGAAGCATGACTGCAGGAGCAAGTTCTTTCCCTGAACCACCCAGAGGTGATTCCCACCTCATTTGTGTGACTTGATGACATCTTCCAACAGCAATTCAGTCATGGACATCTGACCTCAACAACCTCAAGGGGAATATGGATGGGACATGCACTTCACACAACACAGAACTGAAATTTGAGCTTGTAGCCAGCTAACAAGGACCCTGAGGATGAGAATTTCTCCTGAGAGAGCATGGGCACAGTAAGATCAAGAGAGTACAAGAAGAAGTTCAAGTGAGGAACTGCACTCTATAGTTTCACTTCACTGGGCAGCTGGGAAGAACTGAAACAACACAAGGAGTTCTCCATCTCACTGTGTGAAAAGCGGGCAGGGTGTGTACATGACTTAGTGACTGTGAGGGCAAAACATCTCATTTGACAACATTGGGAGCAATCTTATGGAAGAGGAATGTGTAAAACGATGAAGTCATTGATTTACCTTTGCTCATAAAAATATTTAAGTTTCACACCAGGAGCCTTTGCCTGATTTTTTGTAACTACTTTCTAAAGGTCAAAAAGCCATCATGCAATAAAGTACAGGATCTGAAAAAATGTAAAGGTAACCCAGAACTCAGCCAAGTTCTAAATCAGATGAGAGGAAAAAGGAGGTATCTCTCTTTTGAACAACAGCACCAAAGCACTGACCTTGCACATCATCCCACTTGTCCAACCTGCACAATTGTCCTGTCCTGGTTTTGATCAGTTGCTTCTTTCCTTATTTTCACCACTAGCAACCATCTTTTATAGAAAAAACATGACATAGGCAGCCTTCAAGCACACCTTTCAGAGAGCGAAACAAACCCAATATATGTCCAATTTGCATGCCAGATGAATTTTACCCAGCATAAAGCCAATGTAAGGCACGATACAGTATCAGTTCTGCACCACTTGCAGGCCAAGGAGAAGCCAAGAAGTGATTTATTACTGTGTGACCCCAATCATCTGCTGGTGTAATTCCACTGGAATTAATAGAGCTAAATGAGCATGAAAACAGAGCAGAGCAGGCAGGCACCAGCCCCCAGGTGTTCAAAGATGACCAGTCACACTCAGTGCTCCCAACTCCAGCAAACACTCCTGTGCAGCAAAGGGGTTTCCTTTGGAAACAGAAGCTGTATTTAGAAATAGTTGAAAAAGTTCTTCCCTGTGAGGGTGCTGAGGCCCCAGAGAAGCTGGGGCTGCCCCATCTCTGGAAGTGTTCAAGGCCAGGCTGGCCAGGCCTGGACAGGCTGGTCCAGTTATCCCTGCCCATGGCAGGAGGAGAATGGGATGAGCTCTAAGGACCCTTCCAACCCCATTCTGATTTGTCTGACCACTTTCTGCTGGACTTGAGTTCATCTTTCACACATTTATAGTTATGGCACCTCTGTGTGTATCATTTCCATCTTCCAGGTGGGAAAGTAAAACCAAAAGAGCAGAAGTGCTTATCTACCACAGCCATGCTGAAATCACTGGAAATTTTACCCTTTTACAGGTATTTGAACACCTGAATGACTTAATTCAGGACTCAGTGGAGAAGAATGTGGGTCTCCCAACTCCTACACATGGACCCAGCCCCAGGAGTGGCTCATCCAAATGATTCTTTGGACCTGGAGCACAGCAGCTGATGGCAGAACAAACAGTGAGCATGAGAACTCTGCCAACAAAATTTCTGGAAATACCAAGTCATTCATTAATTGATACATAAAAGGTTTTGCCTAAGCTGCAGCTCTCTGTAATATTTACACAACATCCACCCTCCCCTCCTGCAGATCTCAGCAGGATCAATGCTGTTACAGGATGAAGTGAGAGGCTGTGCATGAAAAATGCCCGAGGGTGGGAACAGTTTCCTTTTCAACACCGTTTTCTCAAGAATGAGAAATCTACAGGAACCAGACAAGGATTCCTAATTCCTTTAAGATTGATTTATGTTGCAAGAACAAAACAACTGTGACTGACAACTGTTTTCTGTTAAAGGCCAGTAATTATCAGCAACAGCAGGTAAATACACTCACTTGCTTTTTGCTGTTCCCCTGTTCTTATCACTAGGCCAATATTACACTCATTTTCCTGTCATTCACCCCTTACTTACATGAGCCATACTTACTAGAAAAGTTTACAAACAAAACAAAAAGCCAATAGTTACTGCTCAAATTCTTTACAAGAAATATTGCAAGGCCTCTTCCATGGTACTTAAAACATCTAGATAGTCCAATCAACTTATATACCCATGTAATTGAAAAAACAGGCAAAAAACAAGAGCTGACAGAAAAATGCCACCCTAGAATGCTACTTTTTTTTTTCTCTCCTTTTTGCACAGATCCACACTGGATACAAGGTCACAGAGGGGCTGAGAAAACATTCCCATCACAGTTGTATGTAAAACATCCTTCCATGCTGAAGATTACACACCATTCTGCAGATTAAAGGTATGTCAATATATTCTTTTCCTCTGCTGACAGAATTATCATTCTAATGCTATACTTAGAAAAAGGTGGTGATTTCCAGGGCTCTGCTCCCACACAGCACCTCAACACATGCTTAGTGTTTAGTGGGACTATTTATAAATGCATAAGTTCTGCAGGAGTATTTTTGCACTTTCCAAAATAGACCAACAGCTTGGAAATGAAATATAATGCTCTGATGCTCCATTTGCACTTTGCTTAGTCATTTTATACCTGTTCTGTGAGTATTTGTAGTGCTTAGAATCCTTCTTCTATGCTCACACATCCAGGAGATAAAAGGGTTCAAGGCAAGGAAGGAAATCACATCTCAACTATCCATTTTACAGAGCTGGTGATGTGCAAATTAATCAGTTTTGATCATTCCTGCAGCAGGCACACAGGTCCCTAACGTACCAGCTGCAATAGAGCACTAACATAAAGCTATTAATTCTACCAGTCTTGAAGGACAACAGGTTGAAAAACCACATTCCACACCTTCACCAAACAAGATAAACCACCTATTTCTTATCAAAATAATTTTTAAAGAGTCCCCTTGGCCAGATCTGGCTGAAAAGCACAAAAAATGTGAATCAAAATCCAAATAATTCTCTCAATCAGCCTCAGCACTGCAGTTCCTCTATTTCAGGCTTTACACAGTGCTGCTGGACTCTTCCCCAAGCAAGCTTTTGGCTAGCAGAGCCTTAAGCACAGATGGGTCTCTGACCTTATTTAGGAGGGATTCTCCTGCAGGCATTCCTGTCTGATTTTATAACATTTGATTCAAATGGTTCAGTGACTTGGCCAGGGCACATAACCCACTTCTTTAATGCTTGGTTCATTAGCACAGCTCATGTTTATTAACTACAAATAAATCTCACTTACCATTGAACTCCACTACCACTAATTAGCTGTCTTAAATAGCAATTCCTTGTGAATAATAAATCAAGAAGGAGGAGTTACCGATTTCCTCTCCTGCTTCAGCTCCTGCACGTAGCGCGTTAACTCCGCAGTGATCAGAGAGGTCATGTTCTCTGAGATCACCTCATGCTGGCCAGCATAGTCATTCATCTCATTTAAAGTGGCTAGGAAGGCTCTAGTTGATGTGTACCTGCAAAGGACAGAAATGCATTTTTAGTCTCTTTATTTTCTGACAGACGCCCTGCAAAGGGAGATGGGATCCTCCTTAAGCACTTAGCATTGCAATGAATTAGCACAGATTCACTGGAAGGAATTTCTCCAAAGGAAGCCTGTCCCACACACTGAGAGTTGTCTGATAAGTCTATCTCAATTTAGACAGTTTGACACTGGCTCTTAAAATATCACCACTTGAGAGTGCCAGGTTCTTTATCAGCACAGCTCTGGGGCTTCAGTTTTCTAATCTCTACTCACCAAACATTTCTAGTTGTACTCTCTCAATTCCTACAATTCAGTGCACAGAGTCATCAGTATATCCTACCTGGAAAAATCCTGTCTAAGCAAGCAAAATTTTGGCCAGCATAGCCTAGAAAAGAAAGTTTTTCATAGTGTAAATTTGATTTAAATCAGATATAGTTTATAAAGTTTTCAAATAAATAGAGTTTACTAACCAGCTGTTCATTGTCAACCCATATTTTTTTAGTACCTTCCATCACAAGGTTTATTTTTTCATATCAAATAATCTCCCATACAGCATTCCATGTATTATTGAAAGGAAGAAACATCTGTGCACACAAATTTTGAAGCAGCAGATTATGTCACTGGTAGATTCAGCCCAGTGCCAAAAGAGCTGCATTTAAATACCCCAGCTGGCTGTGCTGGGCAGCTGGAAGCCAGCAGCAAGACACTACTACATACCAGAAAAACTATTGTTGTTGTTATTATTATTATTCTAATTCTAAAATAGTAGTGGCCTGCACTGGTAACATCACCTAAAGGTGAAAAATCAAAGCAAAGGTGGAGATATTTAGAGGAAATAGAATGGAGTGGTAGAAGTAGGGATGAAAAAAGTATCAGATGAAAATAAAAACAGGAGCAACTAAAAAGGGGACTAAAAGGGACTAAAAATGTTACAAGCAGAAATATTCACAGTCAAGATGTGAAATGAGAGAAATCCCAGTTGAAAAAAAATCCCAAGATATAAAAGGCACAGAATTAGAGACTGACAATGAGCTTGAAAAAGCTGATTTTTAGCCAGGTTGTCTCCAAGCAGCATCTGAGGCACCCAAAGGTCACATGACAAATCCCCAGACATTGTTTTGAGACATGAAGTAACCACACTGAGGTGAACACTGTATTTATAAAGGGCAAAGGATGCTCAGGATCTTATGTGCCACATCACATAGAATCTTTCAACTCCAATATCCTTTTTCAGCAATGAAGGATGTGCCAAAACCCATTGTAGTAAATTCAAAATACCCATTTATGGTAGAGCTATCCAGAGGCAGATTTATTCCTAATCTTGGGTACAGACCAAAACAGCCACTGTGCTGGTAACATAATCTTCCTTGTGTAAATATCAATATCTCAGGAAACAATGGCATAAATAACTGATTTCCAAACAATGTTCCTAAACATAAATTAAAAAGCAAGCAAAAAGCTTGTTATCTCTGTTACACAAGCCACTGGAGTAGCTGTAGAGAGCAGCTTGGAGGGCTGATCCAAAAAATCTGTATTAATATAATCATGCAATTGGAGCCATATCCAAACTCTTTTGAAACATGTCAAATTTCAAGGTCAAGGGTTTGAGGCTGCTGCTGGGCTCTCCAGAGGCAGAGCAGCCTCCTGGAGCACCAGGCTGAGGCTCAGCCCCTGCCATGCCTTCCTTCATTACAAAACCCTGACACTGAGAAACTCAGGGGTCACAGTGCCCTAAGGGGAAAGGTTCTCACTGATTTAGAGCCTGCTGGGAAGCTCATCTTCCAGAAAATTCTCCTTTATTCTCCCCAAGGGCAGGAGTGTTCTTAGGGACCTGTGGTGTCTCATCTCCTGGACTTTGTTTCTCTGCCTGTGAGCACAGCATCAATCCCCTGCCATGGGGACAGGTCTGAGCAGGGGAATCACAAGCAGACAGGTGAGGCTGTGCCACATCCTTCAACAGCAGCAACCCCAGGACACTGGGAGTACAGCCCTGATCCTCCACCCTGCTCTCCAGGAGCCACTGTGGTGTTAGAACATTACTCCTTTTGTAAGTTACTAATCTGTGTTGTCAGCCTGTTTGAGTCATTTAATACTTACACAGAGTGCTTGAGTTTCATGCTAAAATTAACAACTGCTTCTGCTCCTGCTGAAAGCAGATATGAATTTGGTTGTTCACTTCAGAGAACCAGGATCAGCCTGGCTTGAAGGTTTTAAGGCACATTAAAAAACAAATGAAACCAAAACCCCAACCCAGGCATCCAGAAACTGCAACATAAGGGAACTGAGTAGTTACAGGGCAAATCCATTCCTTAGTATCTACCCCACAAGCCTGTTTCTGCATCTGTAATGTCTGTATTCTTACCCTTGACATTAAAACCTTGGGTTTACAAGCCAAATCCTAGGTGATGACCCAAACTTTGCCATTCCTTCATCAATGTGTGCTCACCCAGCAGGGGATCATGAACATACCTGTATTCTTCCTCCTCTTTGGAGTTCTTCTTGGGTTGGTATTTCTTTGAAAGATTCCTAAAATTAAAAATAAAGAGACATAAAATTTTAAAATATCCTTTGAAGCTTACTGATGATCTGTAGGTGCACACACATTCTGTGAGGCTGTAGTTTTTATCTGCAGTGAGCAGACACCTCTCCTGAAGCATGACTATAATCAGGCTTTGATTGTGCTCTAGTGACACTCTCAGAATGGGCTGCACACTGCTCCAGTCTCTATCTACAACAAAGCAGCAGATTCTGAACCCAAGAAGTTGCTAAATTAAGGTCATGAAGTTGATACAGCTGGGTTCTGGTTCTGCTGATGCACTGATCTCCTTCACCTGATCTAGGGGAGAGGTTCTTTTAGAGCAGGAGTCACCCAGGAAAGGGAGATCTGAAGCAGCAGATGACATTCTTGGCCAGGCAGGTTTGCCTGCATTTAGCAGGATGATTAGAAGGCAAAAAAAACCTTCACAAAGCTGTGGGAAGCTGAACTGAGATAGCAAAAGGGGGTTCATTTTGTGATTATCAACTAATGCTGGGGGAAGTGTGACATTTGATTATCCTAATTAGCACAGATAATTGTATCTCATTATCCCCCAGCCAACTACTGATTTAATTTTAAAACACCAATATGCTCTTGGAGTGATTGTATCTTAAATAAGAAACCTGAAGCTTGCTGTGAGCACATCTGACAGTGATTGGATGGTTTTCATTGCCCCACAAGCCTCTCATCAGCAGCAAACCCAGGGCTTTGGGAAGGTGTGCTGCCCACCTGGCCCTGAGGGCCCCTTGCTGGTGTCAGCACCAGGATGCACATGGCACTGCAGCACAGCACAGAGCTGAGCAATTTTAAGGATGTTTCAGTGCTCCTCTGTCCTAAAGTGAGCCCCATGACTCTGTTCTCTCTGGCAGCCTCTCACCCTGCTGGGAAAGGGAAGCCATTTGGTTTAGTTTTACAAGGTTGTTTCAGTGATGAAGAGCAGCACACAGGGAGTATTGATGGAATCATTGTCCGAAGGAGGACTGAGTTTTATCAACTTATCCATGCCAAACTCTTTGGAGAAATCCCAGAATACATCTGCTTTTTCAGAGGTGTAACCCATTCCCTGCTGATGCTGGTTTTGCTGCTGACTTGGGGACAGCAGGGCCTCCCATCTCACATTTCTTATTCCTTTTGTTCTCCTTGAGGAATTAAGGAGCATCTGCCCCAGCAGAGGAGTAGCCAGAACGCTGGCAGATTTGCACAGACAAACATGTGTTCCTCAAAATTTAAGTATCTTGACTGGAAGGGATCCAAATGAGTATCTCCCTCTCAGTCTGTGCCTTCTCTCCAAGAATATGCTGTGAAAAATTAACTTCTCTAGTTCTGCAGCTTCCACCAACCACCAGAATGGGAAGGGTTCTGCAAACTGTTCTGCATGATGAAAATAAATTTTACAGCACCCCTTGTATGCCATGGGAATGCCTCCTTCCATGCACCAGCTTGAAGGGGAAAGGAAAAACCACAAGAAAAAAAGCACAGAAGGCTACAGTAATAAGGCATTTTCACACAGTCAAACTCCATCTCCCTGCACTGTCAGGCTGCCCAATTAATTCTGACACACACAGCAACTGGCTTCCTGTGAATCTTTAAAGGTGCAGAAATGCTACAGAGCTGAGGGGGGGAAAAAATCCACAGTCTGCTTTCACAGACAAAAACCACTTACCAAGGATTAGCATCTGGGTTAAACACTTCATTATCTTCTGTGCAATTTACACAACACACAACACACACACTTCTATATATTGAAGTTCTCTAATTATTTTTTGCTGTTTTCAAAAATCAGATGTAGGTTTAACCAGGTACACACAAAAACCCCCACAAGTGCCAGTGAATCCACAAGTCCTGGTGCAGTGGCACCACCAGCACTGCCCAGGAAGCAGTGACAGTGACACCTTCAGTGCCAACAATGATTACAGAGGGAGCTGATACATAATAAAAGCAGCTCTGGAAAGGTTCTCTGCCACTCTGAGCACCCATCTCCACGAGTGTTTCTATTTGCCTTTCATTCTGCCTCATTTTTTCTGCCTTTCCAGCTTGTTTCTCTGCTCCCATATTTCAACTTGGGTGACAAATGTGAGAGAAAGATGTCAGACATCAGGGGTTCTGATTCTCAGATTATCCTGACACCTGAAGCATTTTTTCCAACACATTTTCCTTGAGGCCATCCATCCATCATCACATTAGGCAAGGGTTCTGACACCCTTTGTGATGCTCTGAGTGCATGTGCTGCAAGGGAAGTGACAAGGACACAGCAGCTCAGCACTGGGAGCACAGCATCCAGCACATCTGTGTCCCATGGAAGTTCAAATACCTAAAAGAAGCATTCCACCATAGTTCCTACATTCCAGCCTAGCTTAATGATTCAATAAATACAATGCAAAACAATTAAGAAAATAACCAAGTCAGATCTGGACTCCCAAACCAGGCTAATTGTAAATGAGATGTAAGTCTAACCAAAAAATATTAAATATACATCTGCAGAATTATAAAGAAATGTCTTTAAATAGAAGAAAATTTAACTTCAATAGATGACCAGGCTGAGATGTAGAGAGATAGAGAGGAGCAATAGCTAGTTAGGTAACCCAGGGATGGAACAGAAAGTACAAGTTGTACAGAAGGAAATAAATTTCAGCAGCTTTACTTACACTACAAACAAAATTGAGTTACATCCACAGGAGTACCTGGAGTTAACCTGCCTCTTTTTAGTAACATTTTCTGCATGTTATGACATGCAGTGATGTGATGCAGCCCTTTTACACCAAATTGATGTGGTACAAAAAAGGTTTGCACCAGGCTTAAGGACCCTTATTAAATAAAAGCAGATACATGATTTATTATTCTTTTTTAATGTCCAGCACTGTTTTACCTCAACACTTGACAAGTCTACATTTTTTGGTTTTTTCTTTTATACTTCTTAGGTGTCTGCAAGCAACCCTGTGTTTAAGAGCTCCTTGGGGACAGATGTATTTGTCCATAAACCATAAAAATACAAAGAGGCAGGAAACAAATAGACCATGGTTTTTGGGAAGTCTAGAACAGCATAAGAAGTAAAGCTCAGGAATTCATAGTTTCTACATAGCCACAGGTAAAACAATCTTGCACTTTTGTTTAGATGTTGTTTGGGTGTTTATTTTAATAATTAAGCTCTTTATACCTGGAATTTGTCATCCTGAATACCCCAGTGAGTCTAGTGCAGGATTGTTCCTAAGACAGGCCAGCTCACCCAGATACTCTGCTGGGCTTTCCCAGTCCAGTCACACTCTCTGTAATTCACCCTCTGCTCCTCTCCATAGGATGTGAGCAATTTGTTCCTGCACGAGTCATTTTCTATTTCCTGCTTGTCTGTAGCAGAAACCCTGGGGAACCCTCCTGGCATTCCCCTGGGAGAGCACACAGCCATCAAGGCAGGGATTTATCTACAACCAGCTCCTCATGAATCACAGGCCATTGTGCATCTCCAGTCCACTCAAACACAAGCAAATTCTGGGTGAGTTTTTTTTCTTTTTAATAGAAACTCTGTTAAATACACAGATCAACTGAAACCTCAGATCCCATAACTTTAAAAGCCAATAATAATGGAAAGAGTTCTCAAGATTTATTATCACCATGCAAATAAAAGGTGAGTTAACTGGAGGGGTTAGGAATAATGATTCCTGCTCTCCCCCTCCCAGTTAACACCAGCACTTCCAGTTGAGGACTGGTCACCAGTGGCTGCCAACAATGTTCAGCAGGACCCCCCTGTGTGCTTTACTCCCTTCTCATCCCTGATCAATTCTCAGTTTTTTCCACCTCACTGGGAAAAGCAAGGTGATATCTGCTCCTCTGGGAGGGTTCTTAGCACCTCTTCCCCAGGACCTGACCTCAAGGAAGATTTTTTTCTGTGTCTGATTCACACATTCTCATCTCTGACTAGAATCAAACCAGACATGGACACATAGAAATTACCCAGCAGCAATTATTTGAGATAAATTCACAAAAATCTCTGCTCTGAGAGACAGAGATCAGGAGACACCTCAAAAGATCATAAAACCGTAATTCAAATCTCAGGCTGTAACCTTCTTAACTACATAGGAAAAATGACCAAGGGCTGGGGCTGACTTTCTGACCTGTAATTCCTCCCCATGCACGTTCAACAAAGGCCTGCCTTAGTAAAGGAAAACCTAAACTTCTCCTAACAAATGATCATTATTCCATTGAATCCTTAAACCCTTCAGCATTTTTGCACAGCAGCCCCAATTTCATGGAAAACATTACAGTGCTGTCCTCAAAGCCTGAGCCATTCATCATGCATAAACTGTGAGTAAGCCCTAGTGTGCTGCTCAGCCACCTCAACAACCTCTCTTTGTGCAAAACATATGATTACTAGCAGATATAATACAACAGGATCTTAAATTAACTTTTACTTTCCAATCTCTAAATTTAAAGTTATTTTCTGAAAGCCATTATTATAAACAAAATCACCACTGACACAGCAAAACTCGAGTTGATTACAGGCTCTGAAGAGATGCAACTCAAAGTCCAGAATTTTACTTATCAACTTACCTAAGCTGCTTTGCATAGCTGAGTTCAATCTCTGTCCTTTCTTTTACAAACTTGATGTACTTTTCCAGAACATCAATACCCCACTGAGTGTGTTTTTCTAAGTTGTCAAACTGGTCCTGCAATGAATAAAAATAAAAATAAAAAGTTTAGTCTCATTGAACACAGAGACAACTTAAAATTAATTTACAAAGGGAGTATCACCATACAGAAAGTGTTGTTAATATTTTCCATTACCAGTTAGATACTTTTATAGTGAGACAGGTTTTTAACAACAGAAATCTGTATTTTAACACGAGCCCAATTCAGTAACACTCTTCATTACTCATGGCTGAATCAGTTTCATTCCAGAAATACTGGCAATTCTATTAAATACCATCTTCTAATATAAATATATAAATGTAGGGTAAGAAATAGTAACTCATGACAATATTTTGTGTTACTCTGAAAAAGTAACAGAAGTTCCACGAATTTGGAATCTACTCCTAATTAATAATTCAGATTTTCATATGAAAATTGTAGATTTAAACTCCAGCTTTGGTAGTGCTATGCATTTAAAATGTTATTCAGAACAGTTAATCTTGTTTCAGAGCAGAGTTCAATTCCTTTGTAGCCTGTTTGTTCTAAAGCAGACGACACGATGCCCCCCAAAATGACATAAGCTCTGTTTTCTGGAAGTTTTCTTCTCCACCTCCATCTAGATACAGATACTGCTTTGTTCTTCAAATATTGTTGCCCTCAAAAACGGTCACACATGTTTTCAATGAAATCAAGAACATTCCACAAGTCAGTCTGGGATTTGCAAATGCCAAGAGAAATTAAGCAACTCTAAATCCAAATTAATTATCCAAGCCAGTTTATTACTATCTGCAGATTTCAATTTTAATCACCTTATTTTTCAAAATTTGGTTACTTCAACAGCACTGAAATTCCACAATCCATTCCACACAGCTTTGCAGAAGTTACTGTTTCTACAATACTTGAAATATAATTTTTAAACTGTAATACATTGAATACTTATTCTGACAGACATACACTGTAAAATAAACTAGGGCTTTAATATCAGCCTAACTTATTTGGCATCAGGTTCCATTATGGTTTACAAGAAAATAGAGAGTAAGTTTGTACAATCTACAAATTAGATTGACCATGTTTTCCACAAAACTACCCACAGCCCTAGATTTGGGTGGGATGCTGAGCTGCCACTACCAAAGATTCTGATACAAGTGATGCTTCTCTGCATCAAAAGATTTGGCCCTTTGACTCAGTGTGCAGAGCTATCACTGAGATACAAAAGCCAGACAAGCCCACTCCATTTAGACACAGGGCAGAAAAATAACTGAAAGCTACAACAAAGCCTGGTTTGTGAATATGGTGCTTTTATCCAATACCACTTTCAGCACATCTGGCTGTGACAGAGTTACACTGGTGGCAGGAGGGACTCTGCCAGCCTTGAAGTCATGGACACAGGAGCTAATAAAGAAAATAAACCTGCTTAACTGTAATAGGAAGGGAAGAAATAGGAACCATGTAAAGAAGACAACATCTGCAAAACACCATCAAGAAGGGAGTTAAATCAGCAGGAAAGGCTCGTGGAATGGGACACACAGGGTTTGTGCATTGTGTGTTTGCTCTGCTTTAGCATTGGGTACTATTTCAAACCAAGTCAGCCAAATCAGACTAGGTTTCAACTTATGTCAGTTTTAGTCAATTAAAGAGGCACTGAAGGCAGAAGAACAGCGAAAGGTAATGGTACAAAGTTAGAAAAATAGTAAAGAACCTTAAGTGCTCCAGGACTAAGTGTTCCAGAAACTACAAGAAAGTGTTTGAGAGCAACTGGAGTAAAAAAAATTCAACTACACAAGATAAAATTCTTACTTCCAGCAATACAAATCACCCTTGAACCAGTGTAGCATCAGTCACTCAGAAAGAGGATGTGTGCATTCTGCAGAAAGGGAATACACAGACTAAAAATGTACACATTTGGCTATATACAAATCTCAATTTCAGGCAGTTTCATCGCTGGAGAGAAGGCAAAATCAGGGGTAGCAATGGTGCTCCTCCTGCCAGGGGGCTCAGCCCAGCCTGGAGTCTGATACCAGCACAGAGAAGCACCTTCTGCTCTGCTTCAAATATACAACCTCTCCATCTTGGGATTATGCAGGAATCAGGAGAGTAATGCAAACATGGCCTTTTTAAGGTTTCTGATAAAGAGGTCTTCTAGCTCTCCCACACCCTACTCCTCCATAATTTACATTATTTAACATAAACACATGCATATAAAATAAATACCCCATGGGGAAGTCCATTAGTCACAGGTTTACATGGATTCACACACTCCTGGTTTAGAGAAGGGAAATCTCAGGCAGGGAAATTCACCCTGCAATCCCTGTAAGCAAATTTAACCACCCTTCTTGGTACAAATGTGATCTGATAAACCAGCTTATTATCCTATTGTGACCCCAGAGAAAGAGGAAAGGTCAAGGTTTCCCAGAGGAAAGAATGCCTTTCAAGGAGATCCTGCCCTTCAAGGTAATCCAGATTTCAAGACAGAGCAGGTTCACCCTGAAAAGGCGACCCTGGTGGTGGCTTATCCAAAACTCCCACCCTCATCCCACCCTGAATCAATTCTCAGAGCATCATTTAGATCAGAGTTTGAATAAAAACCCAGAAATGGCTCCAGAGGGACCTGCTGGACTGTTTCTAAGGCCTCACTAGGCCAAGCTGGTAAAATAAAACTCCCTGAGGAGCAGTGTAAGAGGAGCACACGGTGGTGCAGCTGTCAGACACATCAACCAGGGGAAGATGCTGAATTTCTATTTATAAAGTGAGATGAGGCACTTGCCCTGTGCCAAGCTCTAGGCAGAACCACCTCAAAAGTACAAGCACTGACCTCCACTATCAAGAGAGACAAGGGGAAGTTTAACTCTCTGCAAATTTGCTAAAGAGAAGAGTTTCTGTTCTTTTCTGGGCATGGAACAGTGCTGGCCCAAGTGCCATTTCACCAGCAGCCAACGCCCCACAGCAGTGTGTTACACTGGGGTCATGCATTCCATTGTCCCTTCCCTTTGCTGAGTGCCTTGAGGATGAAGAAAAGTCAGTAAAATTGGCAACACCATCACTGGCTGAGCATGAGAGTCCAAAGGAAGGGCAGTGCAGCCACAGGGACACCACACAGATTGTCCTCCTCACTCCATGCATCTGGAAGGACACTGAAGGTACACAAAGGCTCTGAGTTCATCAATCAAGGGATGACAGAGGACACAAAATGTGTCCAGCATAACCTTCAATTCATGGAATCCCAAAGTCCAGGGATACATGCAATCAATGCAAAATAGGACTTCTGAAGAAGAGATTTTTGAGAGCAGGTAATAATATCATGCCTTCAAATAATCAATATTGAAAACACTTTTTGGAAATGTATTTACTTTTCTCAAAGTTCATTACAAAAATGCATTATCAATAGGAAACTAGAGTTTAAAACCCCCATCAATTATTCTGGAGTCTAATGAGAACACCACATGTTTTCAGTACAAATTGCACCAGCCCTGGCAGAGGTGGTTTAGCAGGTGAACTGTGCCACTGCAGCTCTGCAGGTTCAGTCATCAGCTGCAGGAGGGCTCAGGTGCCCCATGAGCTGCTGTTTCAGCTTCCAGTTTCAATACACAGACTCTCCTCTGTTCGTTTTTGCAGCATCCTCACCCTTCCAGTCAGGGAGAACATTAGGAAACAATAAACTCCACAGGGCTTTAGCATTCAAGAAAACAAGGCAAGAAATGTGATGCAATGTTCAGTAAGAATGCTCCCACATGGCCACAGTGAGGGAGAAACAAAAGGTCACACCACACCTGTTTTCTCAGAAAAAGAACCACCAAAACATTTTCTAGAAGAATTCCCTACTTTCCTCTGGCTCAGAGACTGGTTCACACCTAAGAGCATTTTCTGAGCAGAAATCCTGCACTGACTGTCAGCTGTCTGTCACAGGAGGCTCCCACCACCACAGCCTTCATGTTACTATGTCCTTCCAACCTGCCAAATCTCATCTTCTCACAGTTTCAAGTGCCTGTGTTTATTGTGGTATCAGCTTACTAAAGAGAATAGACTTCTAATTGCCTGGCACAATCTGCATGTAATTAAACAACTTGTGGAACTGTAACTTACCCCCTTCATCAGATTCCCCCTGCTTCCCAAAGCCAGCAACAGCACCCAGGTGATAGAGGAGCTGAAATAGAGGAGCTGATCCACCTGATCAGGTGGGAAAGCAGAGCCCCTGATGCTTAAAAAAAACTGTTCAGAGCTTAATATATTCTTGAGCATGCACACAAAAACTGAAGCTCAAGAGGGAAGTAGAACTTTAGTTATTAACTCGAACAGGAATTTGACATCCAAGTACCCAGAATGCTTTGACTATTTTAACCCTAAGGCAAAGTGTGTTTCTAAATTCATTTTCTAACTTCATTTCTGTTCCCATTAATTCTCTCCTGGTGCTTTTACCACTGCCCAAATAACCTCCCATCCATGCATTCTTTGTGAAATTCAGTTGCATGCTTGTTACCCTGACAATGCTTAAAATGGAAATAGTGCTGCCCATTTGCTTTGCTCCATTTGAATGGTTACTTTAAGCTGTCAAATCCCCTTCACTTCTCAACTGCCCTCCTGAAGTCACATTCCCCAGCTATGCAAAGTATTTTGGGAAGAGGAAAGTTGGCCATTAAGGGGAAAAAAAAAGGCAAAAGAAAAACCTTCTTCCCATTTCTTGGCCATATAACATGGAGTACAACCAATTATTGAGCAATAAAGTGTTATTCATGAGGTCTTTGAAGAACAGCTCAGTGAGATATCCCTTCCTCTTTCTAGAAGGCTTCCATCTATTGCAAAATAGTTCAACACATGGTGTTCAGATCCAAAGATGGACCTTCTTCACTTGCCCCCAAGGGGCTTCTCCAGCCTTAACACTGACTGAAATAAAGGGGATGCCCTCACTTTTCTCTTGAGCTACAGCCAGACAGACTCACCCTGCCCAGCTCCAACACAGCCAGGCCAGAAGGACTGGGGTTTCTACTGGGCTTCAGCTGTGAACAAAACTTTAGATTCTAGGAGAATTTACCAATGAATTCTG